GTCCCTGTCCCTGAACAGGTGCAAAACTCAGGAAAGTGGTTCCTACACTTCCCCAGGACAACACAGTATTGCTGGCCCTGAAATTGCAGGTATGGGAGAGCCATAAAAGCAGGAGAACCAACCCTGACCTTTGCTCATCACTGCAAGAGATGAACTAGCCAGGGAAATGCTGGAGAGCTCACTCAGGTAGTGAAGACAGGGAAAAGCTGGAGGGCTGACCAACCCTGCGACTACCCAGGCCTAGTTTCAGGGCTTTGAGTTGACCCACCTAAACATCCACCCCATCTATGATATTCAAGGGCATGTCAAGAGGATGGTTCTGCAGACCCAAAGCTACAGGATTTCTATTACACAGAGCAATAGCAGGATGCCCAAGAGGAGTCTCAGTGAGGGACTAGCATCCACAGTGTAGCAGAAACCACAAGTCTCGGACCTTTGCAATGGACACTTGTACCTAAAGATGTATGGATAAAAGGGTTTACTGTATGACTCACTGTGTCACAATGCAGCTTCCATTACAAGATTTTTCTCTTTTTCTTTTTCCTTTTATATCTTAATTTTTATTTAGGAAGGAAGGTCAAAGGGCAGATACAAAGGAATTGGAAATGAATGGTATGGAGATGCATGATGTGAAAGACACAAAGAATAAATAAACAAAGTTTAATAAAATAAAAAATAAAGTTCACACTTTTTTTTTTCTGACATAGAGTTACTCATTTTAATAGCCCTGGCTGTCCTTGTATTCACTCTGTAGATCAGGCTGGCCTCAAACTCACAGAGATCTGCCTGTCTCTGCCTTCCAAATGCTGCGATTAAGGGCATCACCACCAACCAACTAAAGTTTGCAAACCATATAATTAATAAACTATTTGTACCTAGAATATAATTAGAATCCTTACAACTCAAAATTCAAAAAAAAATTACAATGCAAAATAAGCTCATGAATGTGTGTGCTTAGAGGTAATGCAAATTAAAATCATAATTAAATATTCAATCCTACCTTGTAGAGTGGCTACACATTTTTCTTAAATATGGATAAACAACTGTCATGAATGATGTAAACAACTAGGTTTTCATAGACTGATTTTAGTCTAAAGTAGGACGTCATTTGTAGAAAATGATTTACCAGTTCTTCAAAATGTGAAACATAGAGTCATCATATGATATAGCAATTATTACATAATATAGATTACTACATATATATGCCAAGATGTGAAAACACATGTTCACACATAACCTGGTGCATAAATGTTGCAAGTAGCATATTCATAATAAGAGTATTAATATAAACCAAAGTACCTCAAGTTGTAAGCAAAGTTGATAAACAGAACTTTATATGCCTGTAAAATAAAACATTATTCATTTAGAAAAAGGAATAAAGCATATAATATGTGCTATAATGTGTAATCAGCGTTTAAAATGTTATGTTTAAGGGAAGTAGCTAGATATCAAAGGGCAATAATGTGACTTAATTTTCAAGATGTCAGAAACAGACAATCCAAAGAGACAAAAGTAGATACAATACTTGCTGTGTCCTTGTAGGAGAAGCAGTGACTATGCATTGTGTAACAAAAATGAACAGGAATTAAAGATATTAATATGTATACTTATAAACTTGGAAATGGTAAATTTTTGTTATGTAAATTATGTTTCAGTTGTTTGAAAAAACATGACCTTCAAATTTAATTACTCAAACTATCCTCTTGACCCAAATGATTTATTGTACTCAACTTTCTACCCAAATTTCATAATTGATATGTATGCACACATATATGCATTTAATATTACATTATTATATTTTGTTATCAACTATGTGTACATACATATATTTATCCAGTAAGACTGGAGTGACAAAAAAACATGACTAGTGTTTCTTTATTTGTCTTGTCTCTGTCATCTGCATAATCTGTGAGTGTGTTCCCATTTTCCTGATTCTTTAGAAAATAACCTAGAAGAGTATTAATGCAGGCTGACAGGAAAGAGAAAAGCAATGAGGTTAGCATTAATAATAATTTCAACATTAGCTCACTGTGCCATGAATAAATGATGCTGGCTAAGTTTCTGTTGGGTGTAAGTTACCTCACACTGCTGGGTGTGCAGCTGCCTCTGACCTCCATTTGTGGCTATTGGTCTTCTCAACTTGCAGAAATGCCTGTGGCATGAAGCACGGTCTCTATCTAGGATGGGTAGAACTTGGAGGATGACAAGTCTAAATTAAGAACTTGGGACTTCAGGCTACTTGCTTTGCTGGGGCAGTACAGAAGTCCTGAGATTAAAAAAGGGTGATGAAGATAGCAGCTGGCCCATTCCTCTCATGCAAGCCCAATCACCACCCATGTGCACAGGTTTATCAAAAATCAAAGCAGTTGCTCAGCTTGGCCTTGAGAATAATTCCTTCCTTGAAAATCAAATTTCTAATCTGGATAGTGCCCTCATCTATTCCAGATGTTTGGCCAGCGGTTCAGATGTTGTAAATGATTGGACACTGCGTCTCAATTTTCTCTTTTCGGGTCTGGCCCAGATACATTTTTAGCTCAGTTTTCTCTTGTCAGTTTCCTATTTCCATATTATCAGGAATCTTAACTTCTTCCTAGCCCACTAGTTGTGATTTTGTTATTTATTTTACTTATAGTAAATGGTTCAAGGTACAACTCTGCCAAAAGTAACATAGTGATACTTAGTGCTGGCTCAAGCTATACTATCATCATGAGAAGGGTGATTAGGTTAAATACTTTAGACCAGTGGTACTCATTCTTAGTTATATTCTGGAAGCTCCAATATATATTTGTACCTGAATACCACTTTTGAGTTTCTGATATAATTAGTCAAAATATGATCTGAGCTTCTGGAACTTATACGATTTATCTATTGCTACTCAAGTACAACTACTCTAAATAACAGTGTGGGTTTAAGGGTTCCTTAACTTTGACTTCTGTATTGCTTAAATGTAAAACATAATCAATAAAAGAGAATTTCTGTCTTTCTACAGACCGGCAACCCGCCCACATTTTTTCTTTCTTTCTTTCTTTCTTTCTTTTTTTTTTTTTTTTTTTTTTTTGGTAGAAAAATGAGAGATAAAGGGGCAGAATATAGGACAATGGATCCTTTAAACATATTAGATTACATTATTGTTAACTTTCAATGGCTTTTGCTTTTATTCTCTAGAAATCTGAAGTCCTTTTAATGGCCTTATACAATCTGGCTACATGAACGTCATCTACTATTCTTCCCCTTACTGTACTCACTGTAGCCACAGTGGTCTCGTTGCTCGTCTTCAGATTAAGCAGGGATATTTTCAGTGAAGGCCTTCATACCTTCTCAAGGCAGGCATCTTCACCTGAATGTATACATTTAACTGTATCTCTCAGCTTCCTCAGTGTTATCTTATTATATCACCTGCTTCATAGGGTTTTCTGGCCACTATTTTAAAATTGGAATCCCCCTAATTCCCTTACCCCACTTGTTTTATTATTCTCCATAGTAAGTATGGCCTTCTTATATATTATGTTTTTCTTATTTATATATCCTATTTTTCCTCCAAGTAGAGGAAAAACTATGACATTATTGTACCTATTGTATTTACTACCCCATCCAAATCACTTAAAACAGTGTCTGTCATACAGTAGTCATTAAATAAGTATTTATTATTTGAGCAAATGGTAAAAAAGAAATTCTACAGAATAACAGTAACAACCTTATAGTTTGTAATGTCAGTTAGTTCTATTGACCTTCACAGTAACCTTAGGTGTGAGCTAAGATAGATTTTATCTAAACAAAATGAATGAGTCTCAGAGAGAAAATATTACCTTAAGTTCATTACTTAGTAAGAAAAAAAAGCTTTGCATATATTTTACATTTGTGTAGTTTGTTCCTCTTGTGGGACTCCTAACAGGGGAAGCAGGAGCTGTCTCTAACCCTTTTCCTGACTTCTAGGTCCTCATTACTCATTCTGGGTCATCTTGCCCAGCCTTAATACATGGGGAGGTGCTTACTCCTACTGCTATGTGATATGCCATGTTTTGTTTATACTCATGGGAGACCTGCCCTTTCCTGGGCTGAGATGGAGGAGGGGATTGGCCATGGGGAAGGAGAAGTGGAAGAGGGGCTTGGAGGGAAGAATGGTGAATGGCTTGGATGTAAGATAAATAGATGAATAAATTCATTTAAAAATAAAAAAAAATTAAGAAAGAAAGCCAAGACTCAAAGATAACGTACAGTTCATAAGTGCATCATGCTTTAGAAGGCAGTGTTTTACTAAAATAGTAAGTGCATAACCTCCATTGATTACTTTTTCCTTTTCTCATATTTTCAATGAACAGAAAATTTCTTTCTTAAAAATAACTTCATTTTTCTTAAATAATCATTTAAAAAGGTTACTGGGAAGTTTTTGGAAATGCCTACACCCAAGATTAATTAAATCAAAATATCTGGTAGTTAAAAATCATTATACTAGGCAAATAGTAGGATAGACTTAGATGGCTAAAGAAGGATACCAGAAACAAAATGTTAAGTGACACACACATTTAAAGTTATAAATGGAATAGCAGGCACCAACACTCAAGGGGAACCCAGGGGAAAACTATATTCTGTTATCAGTAATGCCTGATAAAGTGTTAATAATTAAGAAATGAGCATTGGTGTCAGATTTTGGTACAGGGGTAGACAAAGGGGTTAAGATGCATTATTTTGATTTGTGTAAAAGTAAATTGGTAACCAGCAAAATAGCTTAGTGGGTAAGGAAACGTGCTAGTCATGAATGCCTCATGAACTGGATTTGAGCCTTAGAATCCATACTTAAAAAGTAAATTATCTTTTCTGGTTAAATATGCTACAATATATGCCTGGGATAGAAATAGTTAAGAACACATAGGTGTTTATTATAGTTTTTAATTTGCTTCTTTTTCTGTTTTCCTAGTGGCTTAATAATTTCATCTATTCATGGTAACAACTTTGGTGGGGGAGGGGGGAAATGAACTGTATACAATAAAAGACTGACTGACCTGCTTCCTTTGTCTTTTATTCCAGTGCACAAAGAAAAAGGATATATCCCATCTGAGGTAGGAGAGAGTATATAGTTCTTTTTCAAGGCAGTTGTCACAGTAGAGGTAGAATTAATAGTAAGGAAGCTGGGCCACTTGTACCTATGTAAAGACAAACAATAATCATATGAGTTAAATTTCAGAATGTGTGCCTGTACACATAGCTACTGCACAAAAAGACACAAACTTCTCAAAAAGACTGTAAATTGAGCAGAAGAAATGGCCAAACCCATTTATGGTATACATATATTAATAAAATTTTTAAAATCAATCAATTCTAGTCTGATTTTAAGGGGAACATATCCTTTTGATTTCTGCTGAAGCAGTCATTCCAAGTAGAAACAAAGGCACAGAAACTACCTTGGACTATGTTCAAGGGAAAGAATGAGACCATGTACATGAAAGTGCTCTGGAAACTCCAGACTGTGTTTCACATGAGAAGAGCTGCTAGGACTATTGTTACTACCCCACCCAGAGCAGTGAAAAAGGGACATTGGAGACAAGCCACAGGTCAAGTCAATGTTGAGCCAATATTTAAGTATGATCTGCTTTACTGTTACCCAAGCCAAAGGGAATCACTGGTTTGTGTATTGGCCACCCTAAGACAGTATGACATTATGCTATGAACAATAATTAGTTACCTACTAAGATCATACTTGAAGTGGAGATTCATTTGCTTCCCAAAGAAATTTGGCAGAATGTCCCAAAAAGAAATTGAAATCATGATATGAGTTCTTTGTGTGCGTGGCTGGAAACTGTATGACTCAGAAAGAGTGTTCTAATTTCTGATTTCCCTTACTACTTTTTGGTCTTGCATCATATTATTTCTACTCTGTTCAGATTACAAAGCAATCTAGAAAAACTATACCATTTTGAATCTGGACTTTTTTTTTACACAACAATAATCAAATATGATATTTATTCCTCCAAAGGCCAGGGAATGAAATATAACAGGGAAACAGTTTGATAACACAGTAGGCACATGTAATACAACCCAAAGTAAAACCACACAATAAGACTAGGAAAATAAGCTCAGAGACTGAGCCCCATTGGTAGAGAATGGTTGCCAAAGTTGTTCCAATCCCCATTTAAAAGGTGAACATAAGTAAGCGTGACAAACACTTATAAAAATGTCACAATGAAACTGAACATATTGTATACTAAATAAAAAAAATTAAAGAAAAATATATGCGAGAAAGTGCTCAAGAAGAGGAAGAAAGTATTAGACTTGAAAAGGTTGGTCTTATAATAATATCTGGTTAAAAAAAAATAAACCTATTGTCCTATATATAATTATGGCTTTCTCAAAATAATTTTCAGAAATAATTTCAGATTTTGAAAATCTCACACAAAATTTCATATTAGGCTCATCTTTTTAATTCTCAGAGGAAAATACCATCCACCTCTATTTGAAACCCTTTAATAACAGGCAGCTACATCCTCACAAGACAATGCACTTTCATTATGTTTTTTTTTTTTTTTCATTTTGACAACAGCTTACAATGTAAGATAAAACTAATTGGGACTATATTGGCATAAAATCCCACAAGAATGTATCAAGGTAACCTCACCCCTTACGATCCAAGTAGGAAAATCAGAGTTACACTGAAAAAAGAACAAAGCAACTTTCCTGAAATGTACATAGTTTGTTAAGACTATAAGTCTCTGCTCAGCGTCCAGTGCTTGTCTATTTCTGCTGTACAAAAAAAGGCAGTGCACTTTCAAGACTACTGACTGACTATATTACCATAGATCTTGCTTCTTTTTGATTCATAGTATAATGTTGACTCTGTAATGTCTCTTTCTCTCAAAAAAGGAAAAAATAGTGACAAGCAGCTTCCTGGTAACAGTGATATCTTACTGTTTGATTCCATCATATATCACATGAAAACTGCTTTACTTTTCAGAATTTTATTGCTACTTTGTAAGGAATTCATACAGAATATCTGTAAATCCTCTAAAAAAGGATGGTTATTAACTAAAATTCCAACTGGTAATTGTTTCTACATTAGGCATTCTTTTGGAACGTAATCACAGAAGAGAAAACTGAACCAGAATAAAGAAGGCTAGTTATGTGTAAGAGAGCATGTCCAGATAAATGCTGGAAAAATATATAGTTAGTGCTAATCTCAGACAGACTAGGACCATCCTCACATCTCTCATATGTAGCTAATAATAATGGTCCTTCTAGTATATAAATTGATGATAAACCTAGCCAGTACTCTTCCCAGTAAGCAACTTATGGGAGAATATAAGGGTAGGGATAATCTCCTAAAGGAAGCAGAGAAAAAATAACTTCTGCTTCAAAAGCTTCAGCTCTGAATAATGACTCAGGCTTTACTCCCTGCAGAAGGCATTCAGGTGGAACACATCAAGAAGACACCTAACTAAAGGAAGTCACCGTGGCCTGCCTTAGGTTTCTGGACTGAGGTATCATTTGCTTTTCTTTTAGGTCTAGGGACTTTTTCCTCCCTGGTTTTTCTTACTGAAAAATTTCAAAGACAAAGTAACTGGTACAAGGCAATTGAATGCTTATTTTCTTATCTTCTGCTCTAGTTCGAGAATTAACCCATCTAGCCATCATCTTATAGAAAAATCCCCTGAAGAAAATGAAGGGAAAAGGGAATTAGAAACAAAACAAAACTGTGGATTGCAGATATGGCTCACATAGACAAAATCCAAATGTTCTCCAGCAGGTTCTCTGAGCATTCTCTAGTGAATAAATGATGAAATTAAAGAACTGAAAGGAATAATACATTATAAAGAAGTTTGCCACATTCTCCCATCATGCTTCTTTTGCAGTTATTGTCATCATTTTAGAGGTGTTACCACTCCATTTTGTATAATTCAAAACCTCAGAGTCATATTTTAACTAATAGCATGTCACATGATATATGGAAGAAACCCAGCAGATTTGCCAGGGAACAGAAGATGGAGGGAAATTTGTTCCCCAATCTTCAGCTCTCTGAACTTTCAAAAGAAAGAGGTGTCTGTAAGTAGCTCCAAAATGCACCACTAGAACATCTGAGTACAAGTCAGAGGCATAAGAAATGCAGCTGAACAGAATAAAAAACTTTCAACAACCAAGAATTCTCCCCCAGAAAGATAATGGGTTCTTTCAGAGAACAGTGAAGACTTTTTCCTTTACAAGTGTTGTGAGAGATGAGACAGATGTTTAAAGGTGAAGTCAAGTGTTGTAAAAGAAACATATGACTCATAAAAGCCTACTAGTCATCAGCATTGGGCTAGGTCTTTTACAAGATTACCACTTTTTAATCCTTCCAACAAGTAGGAACTATTTCCCATTTTTCAAGAAAACAGAAACTCAGGGAAGTTTTAATTTCTCACTGGGCTTAGTCATAGTTCTATAGGTGGGTGGAAAAAAATCTCTTTCTTGTATAAAAGCAGTTAGTGCTGATGCAGAATGGAAATATTGAGAATACTATGCATTTAAGATTTCAAACAACAGATTACAAATTGCAGTATATAGAGAAGTAGGATGAAAATGTGCACTCTTTCAAAGTACAACCTAGTCCTAACATATAAACTTCATGCTTTCCTTTTCTAATCCCATATAATTAATAAACTTCAAATATCTGATGAGGCAACGTTTGTGTGACCTGAGAAATACATCGCCTTCTTTCTGTTGTCTTAGCCAGCATATCAGGTTTAGAGCTTTGTCTGCTTTTCATTTGTTCACTTTTGTGTTTCCTCATTTCTGCCCAGCTGATTCGTTCACCTAATTTACCTAATTATTCTTCGCAAAGTATAGATCTGACTTTTTCTTCAATTCAAAAACTGACAGTGGCTGTACAATGATCCGCAAAATAAACAGAAACTCAAGTATCCTAAGTCTTGAGTAGTTTCCTACAAATCTAACTTAAACTTTTTCCTAATTGTACTAAAGCATGCAATTTAACAATTGTTCTTTTTGCATGTTCTGAGTTCCTTGCCATCAAGCAGTTGTTCATGTTCTCTGTAGTTAAAATGCCTTCTCTCCCTTTTCCACCTGTTGAAATCCTATCTGTCCTACATAATCTCTCTTAAATAATAATGTTTCATATTTATTGAGTGCTTATTTTGAACAGCGATAAACAAGTATTTTACATGGAATAATTCAGTTCATCCCCACAATTACTCTATGATGTTGGTACTGTAGTAAAAAGAACCGTAAAGAGGGAGAAATGTACATTTTGACCAAGGTCACACAGTTACTATATGGTGGAATGAAATCTTTATACAAATACTTTTGCTCTCTAGCACCCAAAGGTGTTAGGGTTGAAAAACAGTCAGCTAGGCATAATGAACACATACCTGTGCTTACAGCATTTAGGACTGGAAACAGGAGGGATCAGGAATTAAAGAGCCTTGTCTGTAATTAAAGAGTTTCCTTCAATCCAGTCTTATCTACATAGTATCCTATCAGGTCCTAAGGATACCAGGGACAAGTCTTGCTTAAAACAAAGCACTGAAAAGCTACACACACACACACACACACACACACACACACACACACACACACACACACACACACACATATATATATATATGTATAGAGAGAGAGAAGAGAAAAGAAAAGGAAAACCAAAACAACAGCAAAAAACAAACCAAACCAACCAAACAAACAAACAAAAAACAACTCTGTTTTTCTCTGGCTCTAGTGAGATATGATACTTACTGACAACTTCAGAGAATTTTGATTGAACTTTAAAAAAGTTCATCTTGTGCAGTATTATTGGTGTTCCTACACTCAGAATGTTAAGACCTAGGGGATTTAGCCTCTATATCATAGACAGCTTAGTACTTGAAACTTGGTGATAGAGGGTAAATATTCAGTTTGCATCTTACATTGGCAAGATGTAAGGGACAGGAGAGTTACCTAGACAGAGAGTTCTACAATTTACTACCTCCCATTTCCCTACAGGACATTGGCCAATGCTGCCAAAAGCTGTCAAAATGAGATCCTACAGCCTGTTTTCCCAGCCTAGTCTCTGGCAGGTCTCTTCTCCCTGCACCCAGCCAGTTCTTGCAGCTGTCTGGGCCTTGGCCAGTGTTTGGGGTGAGGCCGGATCAAAATATCACTGTCCTGGGCTCAGCTTCCAGCAGCAAGTGATCAAATGAAACTCAGTCACTGGTGACAAGGCTGGACTGAAAGCCCCCATACACAGTGCCAAATTTCTCTTTACACAGGCCCGGACTTGCCCGAGCACCACGTGGGTGGGCTAGTAGTTCAGCTCTCTGCAGGATGCTCTGAATGTCCAATCCATTCCCTTCTCCTCTCCTTTCCTTATCTCTGAATCCCAGATGCACACGCTTGTTGGACAAGTCCGGGCATATTCCCAGCGGCCATCTGGCTCCAGTTTGAACCTGCACAGGCAGGAACTGACTAGTCAAGGCTTCAGGGATAACAGCCTAAGTTTCTGACATCTCAGAGAGTACTGTCAGGGCACAAAGATGAAATGACTGATAGCCACAGAATACTGTTCCCCAAGTCATGCTGACTTTGTAGCACCTTACAAGGGTATCTGATATGGTCCTCTATTTCCGTCCCTATGTGCCTCAGGTTCCAACTGATTTACCACGTGAAGGAGTGTTCCTACACTTACCCTTTATAGATCAATGGATACAACTGAATTCCCAGAACAAACACATTAGAGTACAGAAGAGACACCCTGCCCAGTAGCCGCCCCTCAGTCCCCAGCCTGCATACCGCTTTCAGAATAGGCGAAATCCGTTGCAACCAGTGTTCTGCTGGACTCATTTCACTTTCACGTGTGGAAACAACAGATCAAATCCATCCTCTATTTCTTTCATAGTATCCCTATCTCCCTCCTCTCCTCTTTGAGGCATACTGGACCTCTATTGGGCTATTTAATGTGTTTGGGAGTGGTTATGCAAATAAACCCCGCCCCTGAAAGGACACTGTGAGTCTGGTGGGTAAACAATGGCCAAGCCACAAGTATGGCAAGAGTTATTAAAGCTCCAGGAACTGAAGCTAGGGCAAGAGGGGGAAGGGCCTAGAGTTGAATCTAGCTGAATCTGTGGGAAGGAAGGGAGGAGGGAGCATGCAGCTCAGTTTTTGAAAGTTCGGTGTGTGACTTAGCAGGCTTGGAGTTCCAGAGAAAATCAAAATGTTGGGAAATGTAGGATTCTCAAGCACAAGGAAAAGCCACTTCTCAGCTCTGATTTTGCAGTTTTATATTAGTACCTTTCAGAAAATTAAGATTTTTTTTTTAAAAAAACAGGAAACATGAAGCTGGGGAAAGACCACTAAAAATGAAGAAAAAGTGAATTCTACACTTCACTCTGACTTTAAACCATCCTGTTACCTGTGATGGGTCTCGTGGTCTCTCACTGCACATAGATATATATAGATATATGGTATACACACACACATACACCATATACATAATAACTCTAAGGGCTCTTCCAAAAATGGTACTTTCCAAAAGTCTTCTGGTGATTTCACAAGACACTGAAAGAGATGCATTAGAGACAGGAAGAAGTGGAAGCCAAGGTATAGAGGACAGAATGTGCTTTGACCAAACTGAGACACCTCACCTGACATGGGAAGAGGTCATAAATAGGTCATAAACAGGAATTCAGAATCAAATCTCAGAGGCTGAAGATCCTTTGGAGGAAAAGAACAGAATTGGATTAAAATAATGTCTAGAATTTAGTTGACACAAGTGTAAACTGGGTATAAATAAATACATTTTGGGGCCATCTGGCATGATCTTTGAGATTAAAATGAAAATTATTACCCAACATAGCTAATTTTGTCACAAGTACAGAGGAGGGACCAATAAAGCAATAATCTGCCTTTTCTTCCAGAGAGGGCAACATTTTCTCAAAGAGAGGCCCTTTGATTTTCTTCATCTTTTTCAAATGACAGTGTCTGAGCTAGCTGAGTTTGGAGACACCATTGTAATTAAAAGAATGCTGGTTTGGCAATTAAGGCCCTGACTAAAAATCGCATAATCTTTCTCAGTCTCACTTTTGGCATTTGAAACTTGGACAGATTCTTAGCCTTGACGGCCTTGAAATTCTAAACCAGTTCTTCTTACATGCTTGAGTACACATGCAGTTTCTGATAACACAGATTCTGAGTTAGTGTCACTGGTGTGAGGCTGAGCCTGACTTTCTAACAGGATCTCCATTTGATGCAGTTACTTCTGAGTCACAGACAACACATTAGACAGCAAAGATCTAGCTCATGGAAAGAAGCAACATTAGCTGCTCAGCACTTCATTTACCAGCATTCTTTATTAATTAACTTTTGAAGCAGACAAGCTGGTTTGGGCTCACAGTTTGGGAAGTTTCTTTCCACAGTTGTTTGCCCCTGTTGTTTTCTGGTCGGTGGCAATTTAGCTTATGCCAGTAACACAAAGTCATTTCAATGATGATCAGGATTCAAAAAGAGAAACTTATCAAATGGTCTGGGTCTCACCATCTCCTTCACACACATACCCCTGGTTACCAAAATATCTTTCACTAGACCTCACATCTTAAACGCTCTAGCAATTTCTAGAAGTACAATGTGCTGTTGTACAAACCATGGATAAATAGACCCTTGCAAGACCTTCAGATTTAAACTAAGCAAGCTGTAATCGTGTAAATTGTGTTGTCACTAACAATAGTCCTTTGAAGTAGGGTTTGCTGTTTATATTTTACAGCTGCAGTGAATCCTAGTACTCTATGACCATGTCTGGAAGAAACCTGAGAGAAAAGTTGCAGAAAACCTTCAGCTATTGCTGAATTATTTGGAAAATGTCTCTAAGCAACTCTGTCTTTTCCCATAACTTGTGCAACAGTAGAATAATTGTTGGTCTTCACTGAGAACACTTGACAAGAATTTTTTCATATATTTTAACTGATTAGATCAATGTATTTGTCCTCACAACAACCTGTGAGACCAAACATATTGGAATAATCTCTGCCTCTACTTTTTAAAAAAACATCATATATAATTTTGTCTCTAAAATAAATTTTAAATTCTGAAACTCAGCACTTTTATTTCAACTGTACTGGTAACCATGTGTTCCCCAATCCAGGCAATTTTCTGCTTAGCAAACAGAGTGACCCTTTAAAATATTAATAAATCCAAGTATTTTCAAAGCACTTTATGGATTGTCTTATTCATAGTAAAAACCAAATGTACTAGTAATAGTTTTTAATAGTTCATAATCTACTCTGACTGCCACCAGCTTGTCATATGTATTTTATCTAATTTCCCAAGAATCTCCTTCATCTCTATGCTCAACCATTTCAGTAGCCTTGCTTTATTTCTCCTAATGATTGACATGTTAAAGACTGGTCTTTGATTGTGTGGTTTCATAGCTGAGAAATTTCTTCCCCAGCTATGATCATGACCCTATTCCCAGCCATCATTATGACTTCATCCATCACTTCCTCTAGCTCTCCATTCAAATGTTTTCAGAAAGAATTTTCAAGAATACCTGGGTATGAGGTATTTTCTCTGCATTTTGGACTCCAATGGAGTCAGCACTAGTTCCAAGTATCTGAGGTATAACCTGGCACTGAGCTAGAGTAAGGCTCTCAAGTACTTCCTCTATATGGAATCTATTTCTGTACCATGGGCAATGAAAACTGAGTTGGCACACTTCATTTCTTGGGACTGCCCTAAGCCTCTTATTGTTAGGGGCAGAAATTATTTCATGAGACCAAATGGTAAAATCCTAGTTGAGGCATTTCTCTGATTATGTGTAATTGATAGAAACTGTCTTACATACCTTACTGGAAGATAGACAAATTCACCCTTCCCTAAGCATATCTATGCTTGCAGAGAGGTTCCTCTTGGGTCAGAGAGAGAGAGAGAGAGAGAGAGAGAGAGAGAGAGAGAGAGAGAGAGAGAGAGAGAGAAGGAGAGAGAGGAGATATTTGAGGCTCTGTAATGCTAACCTTCAGCTGTTCTTCAGATCCATTTAGGAATACCGGGCTTAGTGAGTTCTTAAAGAAGACAGGATAGCATCTCATTCAAGGGTAAAATACAGACACAATGCCTTATTCTAATGGAAAAGAATATCTCTCCGGTTATACTAAAGCTCTTCATACATAAAGACTGAAAAGTGCAAATGAAAGCAAAAGTTGATGAATCACAGGATGGCGACAGTAAAATGACCTTTTGGATTCTAGTATGACTAGCAGAATCCTTAATTACACAATCACTTTCTTAGGTCAGTAATCAGTACGTACAATTTTCAAAAAGAACTTTGGTCATAGGTGTCTCATGAAATGGCTTGGGTCTTCTGGATTAGAAAGCTGGGTTATACGAAAGTTACTTATATCCATGTAATTTTTCAAACTTTAGCTGAGTTCTAGCATAGTTAGTTTTTTCTTCCATCCTGAATAATGTTTCTTTTCATTTGCCAAAAATAACTATTTCAAGTTCAGTGCTATTAGTTAAGACACAAATACTACTCTAAAATGGTTAAATGAATACTTCACTTTCGGAAGAATATAAACGAGCAGTGACCTATCCTTCCTTAACCTTATCTTTTTCTCTTATTGAAGAACTTCTTTCTGTCTTAGAATGATCTATCAACATCCATTCCTACTGTCTGCTGCATATTACGTTCATGGATCGTTGTAGTCATTTCTCTTCACATGCTTCACTGCCTTCCCCTTTATAATCTAAGCCAAATCTGAAAAGGATTTACCATACTAATTGGTTTTAAATGATCATTTTACTTCTTCAATTCTTTTTGTTTATAGTTTTGGTTTTTTTGAGACAGTTTCTTATTATATAGCCTGAGCAAAACAGGAATGCATGACCCTTTAACCACAGCATCTCTAAAGCAGGCTTAAAAGATATAAACCACTATAACTTGCTCTACCTCTTCATTTCTGAACTCACTGCACCCTGCTTTCATTAAGGCCACTCACGACTTACTTATTGTCAAACTGAGACTCTTTCTACTTTCTTATTTGAGTTTCTTAGAACATCTAGAATTATTGAATCATCTTTTATCCCTGACTTTTGCCTTGACTTACATTGAAATTATGGTTCTTGCTTTTTATTCCTTCCTCTATGCTTTCTCCTGGATTCTTTTTATTCTTCTTTTTAGAAGGAGAGAGGTCCTAGACTCTACTCCAAATGACTTGACAGATTTTGATGATCCCTCCTGGAAGGCTTCACCCTCCCTGTGCAATAGAGAGGGGGGAGGAATGGGAGGTTGGTGGTGGGGCATGGAAGGGATGGAGAGAGGGAGAAAGGGAGGGAGGGAGAGAGAATTGGGATCAATATGAAAAATAAGAGAAAAAATAATAAAGTACCTACTAGGTCATTTTACTAAAGTCCTGGTGCAAAAAAAGTATCCAGAGCACATATTTTGGCCAATTAGATTATATCTATTGGTATGTTTTTAATAAATTAATTAGCCCATGACTGGGTGGGATAAAAAAATCAAATTATGCTTAAATTTATCCTTGAGACTTCTGGGCCTCATGTTAACCACCATACTTCTTTTTCAATACCTCCTCAACTGCACAAAAGCAAACTTTGGAAATACATAACAAATAGTGACAACTAAAATGTCATTATCACTTCCTCAATTCTGTCTGTCAGGTCCTATGTTAAATGTTCTGTACAAAACATTGTCTAATTGAGAAAATTGAGTCATAGAATTGATAGATAATTTTCCATACTGCCACTGATGGACTAACCTGGAAACCAATATCTGTTCCTTGGAATTTGCTAGCTTCCTCTCACAAGGCCCTGAGATAAGAAGAATTCACACTGCCCCTCCTTTCCTGTGAGTCAACAGGTGGTAAATAGGGTCCTTAGGAAACAAAGAGATAGCTGTAACTCTGGTTTGCCCAGA